ACACTACTCCCCCTTGTGACCCTAATACTAAACCTCACAATTCTTTCCAAATCTCTCCAAAGTGAAGAAAATGATCTCCTAGACAGTTGTTACTAAGAACATCAGGAATACATCTCTCCTTTAGTCACAGAAATACACACATAAGATGTCCTCTTTAACAAAAAAAAACCCCCAAAAGAACCAAAATATGCCATCACGTCTTTGAATTTGCAGTCAAGCCATGTTGGCTTGGTTGTATAACACAAACACTGTGCCATTTTGTGGGATCAGTCCCAATGGAATTGGAATGTATCTTAGAAAAATGTTTTCTCTGTACAGAATCCGAAGTGTTCATCTCTCTCTGACAGTGGAGTCAACACATCTCCATCCTTTCTGGAATCTGTTACATTTTTTGAGTTATAAATCTTTCGGCATCAGGTTATTCGAGGGCAGAATCACGCTGCTCTGGCGAGTTAAGGTTAACACAGTGACAGCTTGAGCTTTCTCACTGTAATTTATAACTCTGCAACAGAACCAGGGTTTTTATTCCCATCTATTAAAAAAGGGGAACAGCACATCTGTTAAAGTTCTTGCACAATGGCTGGCTTTGCACAGAAACAGGAAACGTAACCCAATAGTCTCAGAACTTCAACAAACCTGACCCACTTTCAAATGTTAGAAAGAGGGTTTTTTTTTCCTCCTTTATTAATTTTAGCTTGTTGTAACATCTGCTAAGCGCTTGCTGCCCCCTAACACTTGATATTCTTTCAACTCCCAGAGCTGCCAAAAACAATATTTGGTTCTATTAGAGGCTGCAGTGAGTGTGTGATAATAGGACGTGGGCTCTAAGACTCCCAACTATTTTAGATGACTGCTCAGAGGACATCAAAGAAGGTTATGCATCAGCTAATGGATGGTTTCAGCAAAATGTCTATGAATCTCGTGGATATTGAAGTTTGATGGTTTAGTAGGAGATTACATATGTTTCCAAAACGCCCACAAGGAATAGTTTAAAATGTTTGGTGAGCTTTGAATATGCCTTATGAATTGCCCTTCTGAACCAACATGGAGAAAGTGATGACAGTAACGACAAGTGTTCTTAGTCAACAAAACATTTCAACCATGGACTCTATTGAATAGCAATTGTCTTGGTTTTTTTTGCATTTAGTCTACTTGCTGAAACACATAAAATGTTCTTTGTTCTTCATTTACATCATTCTCGTGTACTACTTTTTTGAATAATTATTACCGACTGGGAGACATCACAACTGTAAATAGTCAGAGTTAACAAAAACTGTCAAACATGGATTCATGTCATTATATATCTTATTGTTGTGTGTTCGACATGACACTAAGAGGCCTCAATGAACTGGTAAACCCTAAAGTAGTTCTTTAAACTCACCTTTCTGGAACATCCACTATAAAAGAAGATACCATTAAAGTGTTCTGGCTGCCCAGTGTAAACACATATCAAATCCTGACTAAATGAAAAAGAAATGTTTTGCCACGGTCGTAAAAAACATGTTGAGCTCAGTGTTTCTTATTAACACTACATTGTGTAGAATTCCCAATAGAGGGCACTATGAAGGATATGCCAGCAGATCAAATATTTACAATCAATATCAAAACATGAATTTAATACAAACTATCCAATTCCTTTATAAGCCATACACACTATAAAAAGCTCTTATCACTTCTGTTATCTCTAAATGTTTCTTGTTTGATTAATACTACATATAAAATAGCAAGAGAGAAGCAACAAAACAATCCACAACATGCCCTAAATGTACCAGATCAATCTGCAGCCGCATCCAAACCCAACCCAATAATTAAGGGCAAGCAACAGATAATTTTTTGTCAATACATTAGCAGATACAACATGCCACTAGGAAGGCTAACTCAGTCTGCATTAGCCTTTTTTACGCGACAGTAGAACACATCTTGAATAGAAAAAATGAATAATCACATGTGCAGTTCTTTCAAGCAAACAAGAGCACACAATCAACATTTCATCAATTCGTCCTAGAAGCAATGGGCTATTATTCTTTGTAAATTGGGGCTACAAAGGGTAAACATTAACATGGGATGCCTCTAAATTACTATTTCTTCTAGATCAGTGGTTCTCAACCTTTCTAGGGCCAGGACCCCTTGGTAACATCTGCCAAGTTGTGGTGACCCCCAACAGAACACTGGACTCAGGACTTAGTAACGGACTGGACTCAGGACTTAGTAACAGACTGGACTCAGGACTTAGTAACAGACTGGACTCAGGACTTAGTAACAGACTGGACTCAGGACTTAGTAACAGACTGGACTCAGGACTTAGTAACGGACTGGACTCAGGACTTAGTAACGGACTGGACTCAGGACTTAGTAACAGACTGGACTCAGGACTTAGTAACAGACTGGACTCAGGACTTAGTAACAGACTGGACTCAGGACTTAGTAACAGACTGGACTCAGGACTTAGTAACAGACTGGACTCAGGACTTAGTAACAGACTGGACTCAGGACTTAGTAACAGACTGGACTCAGGACTTAGTAACAGACTGGACTCAGGACTTAGTAACAGACTGGACTCAGGACTTAGTAACAGACTGGACTCAGGACTTAGTAACAGACTGGACTCAGGACTTAGTAACAGACTGGACTCAGGACTTAGTAACAGACTGGACTCAGGACTTAGTAACAGACTGGACTCAGGACTTAGTAACAGACTGGACTCAGGACTTAGTAACAGACTGGACTCAGGACTTAGTAACAGACTGGACTCAGGACTTAGTAACAGACTGGACTCAGGACTTAGTAACAGACTGGACTCAGGACTTAGTAACAGACTGGACTCAGGACTTAGTAACAGACTGGACTCAGGACTTAGTAACAGACTGGACTCAGGACTTAGTAACAGACTGGACTCAGGACTTAGTAACAGACTGGACTCAGGACTTAGTAACAGACTGGACTCAGGACTTAGTAACAGACTGGACTCAGGACTTAGTAACAGACTGGACTCAGGACTTAGTAACAGACTGGACTCAGGACTTAGTAACAGACTGGACTCAGGACTTAGTAACAGACTGGACTCAGGACTTAGTAACAGACTGGACTCAGGACTTAGTAACAGACTGGACTCAGGACTTAGTAACAGACTGGACTCAGGACTTAGTAACAGACTGGACTCAGGACTTAGTAACAGACTGGACTCAGGACTTAGTAACAGACTGGACTCAGGACTTAGTAACAGACTGGACTCAGGACTTAGTAACAGACTGGACTCAGGACTTGTAATAGTAACAGACTGGACTCAGGACTTAGTAACAGACTGGACTCAGGACTTAGTAACAGACTGGACTCAGGACTTAGTAACGGACTGGACTCAGGACTTAGTAACGAACTGGACTCAGGACTTAGTAACGGACTGGACTCAGGACTTAGTAACGGACTGGACTCAGGACTTAGTAAGGCACTGGACTCAGGACTTAGTAAGGCACTGGACTCATGACATAGCAGCGCACTGCACTTAGAAATAAAAATAGAAGCACACTCACAAGAATGCAAACTTCCAAGCCCCTGCTACCTGCTCTGTCTCCATGCAGCCTTCTCAGCCCCAGCACTGCTGAGATGCCCGCCTCCTACAGAGCCCGCACATTAGTGGAGGGGGGAGGACAGCAATGGCTGTGAATAGAAAAGTCCTGCTGTAAACACTCCCCGGCCATTAGATGTCACTGCAGCGGCCAGGGAGGGTGTACAGCGGCACTTTTATATTCACAGCCGCTGCTGTCCTCCCGCTTACTGAGACTGCTGCGCACGGAGGACGCTCTCACCCAGTGCAGCAGAAATGGATGTGGTGACCTACTTTTGGGTCGCGACCCACAGGTTGAGAACCGCTGTTCTAGATAGAGGCTTTGGTACACTGCTAGGCCCTCATTTTGGAGACTGAACCTCACCTATGATCCTACTGCAAAGCTTTGGGATACGCTTACTGGCTCCTCTGTGGTGGTCTGGGTTCTCTACATCATTAAGGGGGCAGGGATACTGGTATTCTGGATTGTACATAGGAAAAAACCCACAGAAAGAACATGCAGGTACTCGAACACAAGTATGCAAAATAGACAGACACTTTTAGCCCCAAGGAACTAAAATTGTGATATAATCCATAACATATTTAGAGGGCATTATTTATTTTACTTTCTTTACAGCACTAAACAGCTAAACATCTACAATCTAAGCTTTGAAAGACTAAAAATACAATTTTGCACTTTGGAATCAATGACAGGAAAAGTTAAAAGGTCACCATGCTCTTCTCACCACCATTCTCTTTTCTTGGGTAAATACATGCACATAAAAAACTCAGCCAGACTTCCGGTTCCGGCGCCCATGAGAGAAGCAGCGGGGTGACGGCGCTCCCCCTCGATGCTGCCGATAAACATATAAAAACGGCCCCGACAGCCTTCCGAGTGGCATATCGCAGCCCACGGATCAGGGGAGAAGAGGTATGGAACGTTTCCTGGCCCCGAAAACCCCACGATCCCGATCGCTGCCCCGCTCACAGGACACGGCTCACACTGACGGCATGGCCAAGATGGCGCTCCCTGCTGACAGGCAGAGCCGCCGCAGCCCTTCACCCGATCCTTCCCTGGATGGATTGGAGGATGAATCCTCCCACGCTCTAGCCAAAAGCCTGTACTGTTTTTCAGTTTATCTTTATGTGCCGAGATCCTAACAAAGCAGTTCCAATGACTCTACCCTATCACATTTCTCTTGTCTCCACTCTGCAGACAAAATGTATTGCACATCATCGGATAATTATCAGAACAAGCAAGATCACTTCTGCAACGGAATTCAAAACTGGACTGAATACTTGGAGGATTGTCTTGAGATTGTGGCATCACAGTGCCATGTAAACTACCGAAACAAGGCTTACAGGTATCAAAGGCTAATGTAAATATGAACATCTGGATTTTCAATAAACTTTGATCTCAAGCCAAAAACGCTAAAAATATGTAAAAACGTTCACTCACCATGGACTTTGTAAAGGGTCGAACCAAAGCAAACAGCAACGTGTACCCCCACCAGCTCCGATGAATAGAGGAATACATCATATTTCCCGGATGCAGCGCGTTGGATGACACTCCATAGGGAGAGAGGCGGCGGTTCAGTTCCTTGGAGAAAAGAACGTTGCACAGCTTGGAACGGTTGTATGCTAGCATGGCCCAATAGTCCTTCTTCGATGGAGAAAGCAGGTTGAGGTCAAGTTTCCCAGATGAATCCTTAATGTCTGTGAATCTAAGTTCAAAATATAAAATATATTTGAAACCTCCAGCCAGTAAAACTTTAGCTGCTGGCCAAAAATAAAACTAGCAACTCTTATAATCTGTTTTTTGTTTTTGTTTCAAGAGGTGTTGATTTTTTAAATGTAACGTTGAAATACATTCATGTTGTAATAAAAGAGTCAGAGATAATAAGACAGCAGTAGAAAATAAATCATACATAACATAAACCTAGGAGCTATACTGTTGTCGAATAGGTCACACACATTTGCAGCAGCACAATTTAATTTCTATTTACTGTATTGTTTAGTTACAGTATTAATTAAAAATCATTAAAATAACATTTGTGATTCATTCTGAGATCCCTGTCCTGTGTTAAAGTTTAAGTACAACTCTGCCAAATACAAACTATTCAGCCTATAAACAGCTCTCTAGAGTTAAATCAGTGAACAAAAACTCTGCTCCAGTCTGTCCTCTGAGACCCAGTTATTCTCCCACCGGGTGCTGCCATCTTGCCTTTCAGACATCATAGGGAAGTTTGCAGCTCACATATTGAAGACCTCACTGCCATTTCAGTTACAGTGATGTGGCAGAGCGCTCCAAAGATGTCAGCAGACAGAGTGAGTGGGTAAAAATGTAGATGAGGGCTTAGCTGTTGACTAAAAGTCAAAATTTGGATATCATTAATAGCCTGTTTAATTTTTGTCTAATTGTGGTACTAATTTATTTGATAAATGCCCCCCTGAGTCCATTGTCCTAAAGTGCTACATGGTAAATCAGATGGCATGGTATTATCCTAAGTTACAGCGTGACAAGCAAAGGAGGAAAAGTGGCTATACAAAGGATCAATACAGTCAAACATCAAGTCTTTTCTGAAAGAAGTGTGGGGATACAATTAAAGGTAAGCACAGAAAAAGCTTTTAAAATGAGCATGAGTTGAGCTCTGTGGCCAAGGTGAGGCTGTAGATCTTAGCATAATGTAAGGCAAGGTGCCTGTCTCTGATCACCATTCGAGCACATAGTTCTGAAGCTCACACAGCGATACAAGATTCTCTTATGATCCAGAGGGATGAAATCCGGAGGTGGCACATATTAGGGTTATACACGGCCCCTTTATCAGATGTGTATGATAAAGGCATAAAGCCTCTTTGACATGTTATGGTACTGTAACTCATGCAGCCTAATAAAGCCAGCATGGTTCATCTCTTTCATCTGCAAGCAAGCTTTGCAGTCTTTTCCTCTGCAGCCCAGTGACCTCGTACTTGTGGAATATACACAGACAGTAATGCCGTGATGGTAACCTTGGTATCTTGCCATGAGCATCCTCACATGTTTAAAAGATAAATGTAAACAGAGCTGGGATGGTTTTTGGCAGGCTATTATGTCCTTAAGTATACCCATGGCATGGCTTAAACACAAATCAAAATAACTAGTTGATGTTTTGTAATTGAGTCAGACAGAATAATTAAACACCAGCTGTTTCTGACTCCACTTTTTTGTCTTTTGCTATGGAACCAAAGCCGTAAAAAATGTCCTCAAGAAAACTTGCTGGCTGAGATGGAATCTGGAAACACTAAATTATCTGTCAATGGCATGAATTTATGGAAATGTATTTAAAGAATTATAGTTTGAGCCGATAGTACTACCTGTGATTTGAAATGATGATCACGTATGAAGACTAGTATAGATCTCCCCTTTCAATGTTACAAAGGTCTGGTAGTAGGTTGTCATGTTTGGCTCAAATACTGAACAACTATGAAGGGTGTACTGCTGAGCTGGAGTCAGACTGCATTTCCACAAGGCAAAGCAGTCTGGGTAAGAAGAAGAGAAGCTAATCATGACTGGACAATATGACTAATATGGTGCCTCTAAAAGGCTAAGAGCAGTGTGGTACGTGAATATTAAAGTGGACCTTTACCCGTATCTTTAAAATAACAAAACACACCTTTAGAAATGTTTAGTAATGACAATCTATAAACACATACTTCTAGATAATTGCTGGCTTTGTATTCTTTGCATATCTTATTTTTCTTTTCTTCCCCAGTCTTCTGACAGTGGCCATGTTTACTATGGGCAGATTACGAGCTCTTTTATTACTTCCTGGATTACTGGCACATGTGACTAGGACATATGACCATGGACATCATCTCAGGGGAGGAAAATGCCTTTCTTGAGCGACTGTATGCATTCACTCACTTCCCGAACTATTGAGCCGACTTGTGACAGTTTCATTGTCACACATCGGCTCTAACTATTCTTCATGTCGGCTCGAACTCATCTTCATGATAGTGGCTGTGTTAGAAACCTCTGAGGTGGTGGAAGTCACTTGAAAGGGTACATTAAGCCACTCATTGTACATAGTTCCTAGCAAACCGTCTTGCCTGCCCAGTGTTCTCAATAATGTGCTGTCTGTCCCGTTGCTTCAATCTTTGCATTCTCAAGCTACTTAAGAGTACCAACTTGGAACCCTGGTCAACTGTTGTCTTATGGTGCTTGAGTTAGTGATCTGACAGAGTTACCACCATGCTGGTAGTTTATTATACTGAATAAGCCCAGTATAGGGCCTCTTACTAGCTGCATCTTCTGCTTTAAATTAATTTGGAACTTTCAAGGAAACCTATGCTGAGTGAGCATGTAGGCTGTCATTGCTATCCTCTTGTTCTCAGTCAGTGGCTTAAAGTATTGCAGCATGGAGCATCAAAGCAATATGTAAGAAATGTGTCCCATTGTTAATATGAAGACATATGTTGCCACATCTGGCCTGCCTGTAGTCTAGATCTTTCACCAATTGAAAACATTTGTTGCATCTTGAAATGAAAAATATGACAAATAAGAACTAGGACTGTTGAGCAGTTAGAATCCTATATCAATCAAGAATGGGCTAACATTCTTCTCCCAAAACTCCAGCAACTGGTCTCCTCAGTTCCCAGACATTTACTGACAGAGCTATTCAGAAAAGGGTGAAGAGTTTGGAGAAGGCAGGAGAAGTGAACAATCTAGGCCAAAATAGCTGATTTGGAAAAATTCTCCAGTTCAGCTTGCTTTCCCGTTCAGCTATGTTGTCCTAGATTGTTCACTTCTCCAAACTCTTCACCCTTTTGTGAATAACCCTGTAAGTGTTTTGGTAAAAGAAGAGGGAATGTTACACCATGGTAAATATGGCCCTGTCCCCAACTCTTTTGAAATGTGTTGCTGCCATCAATTTCAAATTTTTCTTAAAATGGTACATTTCCTCAGTTTAAACATTTGATGTTTTCTATTTTCTATTGTGAATAAAATATGGGTTAATGAGATTTGCAAATCATTGCATTCTGTTTTTATGTACATTTTACACAGCGTCCCAACTATTTTGGAATTGGGGTAGTATAATGTTAACATTTTTTTCAGACTTTCTTGTTTGGCACTCTCACTAGACATTACAGCACTAATTGCACAGACTGGAAGCAATTTGTGGTACAAATCTCCTTTAAATCAGATAACACACTTGTAGTCTGTCACTTAATTTTGTCAACCAAAGTAAAATGATTAATTTTTAATTAAAAGAGAACTTGGTATTACATTTATTGTTGCATCATCATTCTGTCATAAACTGAACTTATCAATTTGAAAAAGCTTATATGAAAATTCCACACGAAACAATAGATTTAGTAACATAGGCAACAGCAATTGTAATGTGCCTGCTTTTTTTTTTTAAATGCGCAGTATGGAAATAAAAATGACAGACAATAAGAAATGTGACACAAGCCTCTATTTAGAAAGAAAATTGTCTCAGACAACTCTAACCAACCAAAGTGGTTCAGTAGTGGGCTGGAAAATGACAGCAGGACACAAACATTTAAATACAGTTGCTGCGGATTTGAGATAAGTCTTAATTCCGACTGTTTTATAAGTAAGATAATAACTTGTTAGGCCAAAACTTTTTTTAAACCAGCAACAGACAAAATAATAATTTCCTGTTCTTTTGTATATTACGAAATCATTTAGTCCAAGAAACTCCAGTTACCGAAAATACTTATTTAAGCTAAAAAATCTATTATGATTAGATATCTTTTGAGCTTACAGCAAAAAGCCAATATGAACTAGAAAACCCTCTACCAAATCACTGTAAACGGGCAGCACTGCTTTAGCAGATGCCTGTAAGTTGAAAATGACTGGTTGTGTATTGTAAGCTGTGTCTGTGTTACAAACCAGAGGTCCTTCATTTACAGCTGGCCCAGGGGCATGAAGGAGTAATGTACATAACTACACCCACTATTGTAAAATGAACATTGAACTCCTGTTTTTGGGGGGTTTTTTCAATTGGTGTTGAAAGTAATGACATATAAATATATTTTGTTCTTAAAAAGTCATTATTGTACTTAAAGTAGAACTATGAGGTGAGTGAAAATCACTCATCCTCATAGTTCGAGCCAACGTGTAACACTGAAACTGTCACACGTCGGCTCAGTAGATCCAAAAGTGAGCGAATGCATACCGCCGCTCGCTCAATTCTCGATCATCTCCCTACAAAGAACCGTGACTCTCAGTCACGGCTCCCCGCAGGGATTCCCCCCTCCCCAGCTCCGATCCCCCAGCGCTGAGTGGAGGAACGGACGGGGGAGGGGGTGGGTACAGCTGGCTGTGCCTCTAGATAGGCAGAGCCAGCTGTCCTGACTGCGGCGGTCTCAGTATACTGCGAGCTGTAGCTTGCGATATACTGAGCTTTGAGTCACGGGAGGACGCTAGTTTATGTCCCCCTTGACCCTCAAGAGAACTATGGGGAAAAACACTTACCCCACAGTTCTCTTTTAATGTGTATATCTTGCCAACAAATGTTTTCATATATCTACTAGCAAGCAGTAGATATATGCAAAAAGTAAAAAAAAAAAAAAGCTTTAAAAGAGGTTAAAGGAGAACTATGAGGTGAGTGCTTTTCACTCACCTCGTAGTTCTAGCCGACCTGTGACAATGAGACTGTCACAGGTCGGCTCAGTAGATCGGGAAGTGAGCGAACACATAGCGGCGTTCGCTCACTTC